GGGCATGGTGGCGCATGCCTGTAGTCCCAGCTACTCGGGAGGCTGAGGCAGAAGGATTGCTTGGGCCCAGGAGTTTGAGGTTCCTGAGAGCTAGGCTGACGCCACAGCACTCACTCTAGCCAAGGCAACAAAGTGAGACTCTGTCTCAAAAAAAAAAAAAAAAAATGTAAGTTTACTTCAACTCTACATACAAACTTTTACAGGATGACCTTCCAATATGCTTAATTTTGACACATGAATCACTCTTATCTAGTTCTGGAAGCAATTAAATTAAATTCTGGACATTCATCTTAATAAAGCTTCATTGAAAATTGATACATCCATGTTGAAAAGCCAGCAGGAAAAAAAAAAGGAAATTGATATGACAGATTATCTTTCTTTAAGCTTAAACTAAACAATTTTCTCCCTTGAGGTAATTATCAGGTGGTATGCATTTAATGCACCAGCACTTAATTCATCAACTATTCCAGAGCAAATGTCTTTTTTTTTTTTTTTTTGAGAAAGGGTCTTGCTCTGTTTGCCCAGGCTAGAGTGCAATGGTGTCATCACAGCTTACAGCAACCTCAGACCCCTGGATTCAAATGATCCTTCTGCCTCAGCCTCCAAGTAGCTCGGACTACAGGTGTATGCCACCATGTCTGGCTAATTTTTCTATTTTTTGTAGAGACAGGATCTTGCTATGTTGCCCAGGCTGATCTTGAACTACTGGCCTCAAGCACTCCTCCCACCTGAGCCTCCCAAAGTACAGGTATGAACCACTGAACCAGCCACAAATGCCTTTAAAAGGCAACAAAGCACACGGTCATTATGAAGGGTTTGGAATTGCCACATTCCAAGTAATAACCACTCCACCCCAAAGGATCTTAAAAATATCATTTGCAACGGTTAACTTTGTGGGGGAAATGCCATTTGACTTTCATAAAACCTTGTATGACATTTGAATAGAGCCATATTAAAATAATAAAATGATACCATAGAAAGAGTGATTATAGAGATAAAAAACAATGTTAAAGGAATAAAGAAATCACACAAACCAATGTAAATGTCAATGCCCATGCCAAGGACATGTATGCTTAGACATCATTCTTGAAAATTCATTTGGAACCAACTCCACCTTTGGTGTACACAAGCAAAACTGTTGGAGAAGTGAGCTATTTTCAAGGGATCTAGAAAGAAAAGAGCAACACTAGCCATCCAGGATGTTTGCTGGCTTTTAGAAAGTTAACCTCTCCTTAGGATAGGCACGTTACTCAACATAGGGGTAGAACTGAATTATGAAAAATAACTAATAAGACAGGTCTCCAAAAACATATTTAGTAAATAAACAAATGGTTACAAACTTCCTCAGTGGTGATTTCTTTTTGCTCTGTGCTCTAGTAGACCATATTATTAAAATGTGACTCATTAGACTTCAATCAGGGCCATATCTTCTGAGTCACCTGTGAAATTACATGTGACATTATAGTGAAATTATATGTGAAATCACAAAATTATTTTTTTTATAACAGTATCTTATAAGAATTCTATTATATTATTATGAAGTTACTCAGAAGTTACAAAGGCAAAATAAAAAATTTTATTGGTGCTAAGTGGTTTAAAAATAAAAGTAGTTCACAAAAAAGGAAGCAGTTTATGTAGCTTGCAACTGTTATCCATCTAAGCCAACTTGCACTTGATCTCAGGGAGTCGGTGGGGTGGGGGCAGAAACCTCATCTTCATATTGTTTTAAAAGCAAAAAGCAGGGTAGCATGTGCTTTTGGGTTTTTTAGACTATCTTCTTGGATATAAAATAAATAAGGACACCAAGAAAGGAATCCTTACCAGAAATGAATATGTTCATAATCCTTTACAAGAAAAAACTTGTAAGAAAATACTAGTCTTTTCATGCTTCACTCAGACTTTAGGTTTTCTGACTTAAGAGAATGCATCAATCAGACTTTGTTAAATTTTTTAAGCAAGAGAATTAGAAAAGTAAACACAGAAATTAAAACTTGCCTGTCTGTACTAGCCTAAAGATTAAGAGTTCTATTCACTATCCATTTCCATATCCAGTTTAAACATCTTTGAATATGTTTTGCAATTGTAGTAAAAATTTTAGATGATTCTGAACTATTTCAATGTGTCACACAGAGAATAACAAAAGTTATCATTTGTTGAACAACTATAATATAGCAGTTTATTTACTTATACCACCCCCATATTACTTTGTAGGTTATGTTATTATCCCATTTTTACAGAAGAGAAAACTGAGACTCAGAGAATTAAGCCACCTATCTAATATAAGTACATAAAAAGTAACTTTTCTGTATAACATAAAATATTATAAATAAAATAAATAAGGCAATGTCAAACTGGGAACACAGTGGCAATGTTTATGGCATATAATTAATATTATCAATGTATAAAAAATTCTAACAGATAAAAAAGGTTCAACAGTAAAAAAAATTCTGGCTAGGCAGAGTGGTTCATACCTATAATCCTAGCACTTTGGGAAGCTGAGATGGGAGAATTGCTTGAGACCAGGAGTTTGAGACCAGTCTGAGCAACAGCAAGACCCCATCTCTACAAAAAACAGAAAAATCAGCTGGGCATGGAGGTACGTGCATATAGTCCCGGCTACTAGGGAGGCCAAGGCAGAAGGATCGCTTGAGCCCAGGAGTTTGAGTTTGCAGTGAGCTACGATGGTGCCACTGCACTCTAGCCAGGGTGACAGAGTGAGACCCTGTCTCAAAAATAGAAAAAAAATTCCAACACTAGAAAATATCTCAATAAGGAAACTATCAAAAAACTCAAACAGGCAAATACATAAAAAGATAGCTCAATGGGCAAGAAGCATATGTAACATCATTTTTTCTTACTAGTAATTAACAAGCACAAAGTAAAATCATAAGATGCCTTTCTTCTATCCAAACTAGCAGAGATAAGAAAAAAGATAAAATACTCCAAGCAAGCCTAGGTATGAGAAAAAAGGGCACTCTTATATACTGCTGGGAAGAGTGTAGAACTGGTATAAGATTTCCAGGTAACCAGATAATATGTAAGAAAAGCACTAAAAACATGCATTTCATAACACCCAGCTAGTCCACTGACAGGAATTTCACTCATGAAAATACAATATTAACTACTACAAGGATGTTCACTGTGACACCGCTTCTAGCATCACCAAAGTGAAGAAGAACCTATATGTCCAATGATGAGGAACTTGGTTAAGTACATTTTGATACACCCCCATACAATGGAATAGTATGAAGTTTTTGAGTGCAATTTTACCCTCATCCTAGAATTGAAATTAAGGCACAAAGTTGATGACTAGAGTGCTAAGTATCTCTAATTTTCTAAAGAGAACTACCAGTGAGCCACCAATAACTGGCCCAGACCCTACCCTCGTGGCTACAAGCAGGAGAAGCAGCTTCCCTTGGATTGCCGCCCCTCCTCCACCATCCCCTCCTCTTCCCCACACCATAGTGTCTCTAGAAGGAGGGGGACAGGGACCAGGAGTCGCTGGCCTTTGAGTCCAGTATTTGTGATAGAGCCTTTTCCCTCCCTCCCCCTTGGGAGAGAAGAGGATGATTTACCCTCCCCAAAGAAAAGTGATGAAGGGAAGGGTTTCCTAAGAGAATCACCTGGAAAGATTAGGAGAGCCTCAAAGGAAAAACTGGCTTTGCTTCCCTTATTTGGATGAGCAGGACCTTAATAGAGTGAGAAGGCAGAAAGTGAGAGGTGGGGCGCTGAGCTAAAAGGAAGCAAGCCAGTCCTCACCAAAGACCCATGCAAAGGCTTGGCGCTACCAGATACATTCGAATGTACAGGTGAGGGGTCAAGCTGGAAACAGGGATATTGCTTGAAAATAAGACAAAAGCAGTTCCTTAGATTCCCTCCCTCTACTTGGACTGTTAGATTCTGCCCCTCCTCCACTCCAGCGGAAACTGGTACATTTACCAGCTGGGGCAGTTTTAACAATGAAGCAAGGGGGAGGAGATACCATACTGAAATCCTACATAT